GCACTAACAAATTCCAAATATCCCCCCGTTTAATTACCCGCTTCCATTTGTCCCATTCATTCGATCCGTTCGTCCGTTTCGTCCGTTCGTTCTGATCCGTTCGTTCTGATCCGTTCGTTCTGATCCGTTCGTTCCATTTGTCCGTTCGTTCTGTCCGTTCCGTTTGTCCACACAATGCCATTGTGGTCTCGTTTGTTTGTCGACTCACCGTGTTCCCTTATTCGTGCAGCAGGCCCACTCACAACTTAAGATATTGCCGAAGACACAAGATAGGTAGAGAATTCCGCCGAAGACAAGATCGTAGGAGAACAGGATCAATGATATTATTCTGCCGAAGACAAGATTGTAGAGAACAAGATCAATGATTCCTGTTCGGAATGGGAACAGACACGGGGGCAACGCACGCTGCTTTGAGCTTTGAGCATGTTAGATGTCGCCCCCCGCGCCATGTTCTGACTCTGTAAGTGCGGCAAATTCCGGCGTCACGTGACCTCCAACCTCACGTGCTTTTCAAACGGTCCAAATGGTCGTTCGGTCTTTGAAAAAACGGTCGACCGTTTGCGTGAGAACCCTTGCCATGTCGAAGCTGCCAAACTTTATACCACAAGAACCTACATCAATGTTCCAGAACCTGTTGGTTGCTGCAGCACGAGTCATGACGTCATAAGGTTATATATAGAATCATACGATACATCGTCTTATTATTTGATTGGTAGTTAGTTCGAACTCAGTTTCAGTCTCCGACTTAATATATGTATATAGGTAGCTAGTTCGTAGTAGGTAGTTCTTTAGTTCAAACCTCTCGTCTGTACATTGTGTACCAGCCTGGACATACCTGCTCAATATTACCTCTTTGTTCGATTATCTTTGTGTTTGAGTCCTAGTCTTCGCCCGTTAGGGATGCCCAGTGTTAATTCGTTATTGGGTTGTGACAGGTACAGTCTGAGACTTTTGACCAAAACATCTTTGGAGGCTCTCAGAATGGGGTCAAGGAAAGCTGATACCCCTAGAACTAGGAGCAAAACGACGCAACTAGCATTAGCTTGACCCTCGGAACTAGGAGAGATGTGAATACTTATGAATTAGGACAGCATTGCATACCTCATAAAAGGTTTGAGCACAGGTTTATCTTGTAAGTAAGGTGCTAAAATCACTGCGTGTTTTCGAAGATAGAGTATGAAAGCATCAGAACTCCAACACCCCATTGTCTTGACCATCTCGAAAGGAACACCTTGAAGCAGGTATTTGAGTGTTCCGCCAATGCGTATCCCATGGCCTTTCACATCTCCCTGTCCTGCATGTGTGATCGCCTCTTTCAGGCATTTCAAGAAAGCACTGCGCATTAAGACTCGTAGACCAGAACGATGCTGCCAACTGAAGAGAGCATCAGAAGCCGATGGGTGATTAACAAGTAGATGGTTGTCGAGAGCCATGCGAGGGTCAATGAGTCCAGACTGAGCGGCCCAATAGACTTCTTTGCTGTTGATGCAAGTTTTGTGCGCAGCAAACAAAAAACTGTTATGCAAAAGCCATTGCGATCCACTTCTCGATGAACGTCACCTACAGTTACATGCATTTCCTGATTGAATCCCTTCAATGAAGAGACAGTAAATTCTCCTGTCCAAGCAATGGTGAAGAAGGATGTTGTCAGACATCCATACACAGTGGCATGTAGGGGGGACGAGAGATCCAAGGCTGAGCAAATTGCGAGCAACAGCTCCACTGTGAAGGGAGCACATTTTGGACGAGATGAGGATGTCAGAGCGAGGTGTTTCGCGCCTTCTAATGTTAGGGAAGCTTGAGCTTGATCAACTGACCAAGGCAAACCGTGCAATGAGTGTTATGCTCGGATGCCGTAGAAGTAATTCTCTAACGTTCTCCCGGAGTAGAGTCCCGCACACCCAGCTAAGAGCACCAGTATTAGAATAGAGGATGCTGGACACCTCTGATGTTCTGGGATATCGCGAGAATCACAGAAAACGTGAAATACCAGTAATCCTGACCCATAGGATTCCCTGGTACTGGGCACGTGAGAGTGTGCAATAACGAGGAGAATGCGATCAACATTGCTGTCGGACAATGCTACTAAATGACCGGTGTGGTCGATACATGATTTAGCAGTAGCAGGGATCCAGAGTTTTAAGCAGTCACGAGCTAGACAGTGTGGGCGAAGTACCAATGGAAGAGGTAAGAGAGATACATGGTAGGGTCGAGGTTGGGAGGAAGAATTTGAGGGTGTTAGTACCTGTGTTCCATCAAAACACCCGCATGTTGTCGTCCCAGCAGTCTCAATGTCTGATAAGATCAGCTCCCCAGTCCCAGAAAGGTGATCCGTCAACCATCTGGTCAGCAATAGGCTTCTGGGAGTGTGTACAGGTGGTAACAATGGAGCTATTGGTGCTGGCGCTCTCGAGGAATTTTGAGAGAGCATCGGGGAGAGATATGGGTGGCAGGAGGAGACTCTGTGATGGGTAGATCCCCCTGGACAGCCCATCTGCAGGGTTGTCACAACTGGGGACATACTGGGGGTGGAAAGAGTAGACATTGTCAAGAGAGTTGAGTTTGGCGTGAATTTGGTGAAATATGGCGTTGACTTCCTGGTTGCGACTCCTTCTGTTCTTCCAACCTTCAACGACTCCTTGATTGTCGCAGTAGACACGGAAGTGGCGATGAGAAGAGTAGAGTGCATTGTTGAGAATAGCCATGATGAGTAGCTCAAGTCCTGCACATTCTGCCCACCCAATATCTCGTTGTCCATCAAGAGTTTGCCATCCAGGCCAAAGTTTCCAAGCCCGCCAATGCCCATTGATAACAACTGCAACTCCAACAGACGAGCTCGTATCTGAGAATGCACGTATGTTGATGAGGGATTGGGGCAAAGCGATGAACCGTCCAATGAAGGTGCGAGTGAGTGTGGTGTGCCACCAGTCGAGATCGTCTTCGAGATGTTTGACGGAGTGATATGACACGAATGGATGATCACTACAGACCCTGAGCATGGCTTCCAAAGAGGTGAGGTAGGCTCGACCTCCCGGAACCACGAGACAGGCGTGGAGCAGCTTACCATACAGTTGTTGTATGTCGATGAGTGTATGAGTCTTTTGTAAGTGCCATGACTTGATAGCCAACTGATACTTCTCTTTCTTTCCCTTGGAAAGTTTGACTGTGAGCAAAGCAGTCCAAGGAAGAGGGCAAAAAATGCAAAGGCAGTGTCTTTCATAGGTTCCCAATGGATCCCCAAAGGTTTAGACACACGATTGATGTCGGCAAATGCATAGGCAAATTCTGAGTTGAAGGAAGAACGAAGGGAAGACATTGAAAGATCACGAATGGGTGATCTGCAATCTTCTGCATGTACGTTGAATGAGTCATTTGGGAGATTGGTGCCTTTATACCAGATACATCCCCCTAAACGTTCAGGCCCTTCACAGATGAGATGAGACCATACTGAATGCCGATGATTGTTGTAGGACTCGATGTACTCTCATTGAATACGAAAAAATAAATGATCGTCCACCCATTTCATGATGGGACCAATGCCTTCTGCGCACAAAAGGTCAATTCCCACATCAGCAACGTGCCCGTAAGCCCCTGCAGAGGGACCCATACTGAATGATATGCAAGTGTCAATACAAAACTCCCCATTGGGAAGTCGCATGACCGCTCCTGGCCACTGAGAGGAGTGTAAGGGTATGGTGTGATAGGCTTCGGCAACGTCCCTTGTCACAGCTTGGGAACTGGGAGGTAAAGATCGAATGATAGTACATACAGTGTCGAAGGTTCCCCATGTGCATGGGAAGTCATTTGGCTCGAGATGGGAATTGATAGATGCAAGTGGGTAATCCAATGAAGGTGTAAGAGGGAATGAAAATTTTTGTATAACTCGGAACTTGCCAGGTTTGCCAGACTTTGATATAATAGATATAGGTGACGATTGAAATGGGCCAAGAGAAGAGAGAAGAGCATCATAAGTAAAGGGACCAAGATATCTGCCTGTAGAGAGTTCTTGACTAAGTATTGTGTTGAAGGCATCAGCATAGGTAATAAGCAAAATGTTGTTGGAGGGACACTGGATTTTGTTAATTTTCGGGATACCAAGGACAAAACCAAAATGAAGGCTATGTGGCAAAGATGGGTATAGGTTGAGAAGGTTATGTTTGCGAAGACTATCTTCCCAAACAACAGAGTTATATGGCATGAGTGGATTTTGTCTTCTGTGCTTGATGGCACTGTTGAGCTCCGTAAGAGTTCACGAGACACTCTGAGCACACATGATGTTCGTTGTGGGAATGATTGGAACAACCTCGGGAGCGTTGCCAATCCACACATAATGGTTTGTCCGATCCTCATAACAGAAGCTGTCTGTTGACACGAGTTGTAATGGCAGAGTGTGAGTTGTCCCAGAGACGTTCTGCAATACACTTGACAAAGGGATGAGACTTGCTCCCCAAGCAGACTGCGCACACTGCCGGGGGCGGGAACTGTGTGCACTGTCCTGAAAATTCGAGCAAGAGTTAGATGAGTGAGAGGGATGAGAGACTGCCACTTTCTTGGAAGCTTTGGAAGATGGTGAACGATCTCTGCTACTTGGCGATAATGGTCGTTTTGAGTTCCAGTAGTGAATGTGTGAATTCAGGTCACTGCTGTTGTTCTGTGGTGTAAATGCAAGGCAAGAGAATAATTACGACCACAGAGAGTAGACGCAAAACACAAGACCATGCAGCGAACACGAGAACGCAGGATTAACACAAGATCACAGGGTAAACAGATGACATAACGCAAATAAGGCAAAGATGTGACAATAAAAGGGTAAACATCAGTGTGAAGTTTTATTAAAGATTTGAATAGACGTACCCCACACTCTTCCACCAGATCCTGACGTCTCATGTCACAAAAGACTCTGTCGTAGGTGTGAAGGAGAGCAGCATCGTCGATAATGGTATATCCCAAGCGCCCTTAGAGAGAGGAATTGCATTATGCCACATGTGACATTGTTCTTCTTGATATATTAGAATTGCTCGTTGAGCTATGGTGTCTATGGAGTTCCAGTAACGGTGCAGCATCACTGTGCCCCAAAACCGAGCTAACATGGTTACTCGTTGAATGGGCCAGTCATATTCCTCTAATGTGGATATCATCCGGGGTACCACCTGTGCAAATTCCACCATAGACAAAAAGTGATCTGCTACAACGGCCAAGGACGGTTTAGCCCCTGTGGCAGTTGTCCACGCTGTAGAGCCGTCTGCATTAGCTGTAGGAATCATACCTTCATCGTCTCAAGTACGATACAATGAGTGTGCTTCCTAAATTCCGACATTTATCCAATAGTATAGTTCTACATAGTGTCCTTTCTTGATTTTGTGAAGTGCAAAATCGGATACTAGTACTTCGTCATCGGTGGAATCAGGATGGGGACACATGGGGAAGTGGGAGTAACAAGACTGATGCGACTAGCCTGGTACAGGTCACTCAGGAAGTCCGGGCAAGTCAGAAGACTGGGATCAGAATGTAAGCAATCCATGAGGATTTAGATAATAGACTTAGATTCGGTAACAGAGAGAACTTCAGTAAATCAAGAGTTTCGAGGTGTTCTTGATGATACACCTCTATAGTATGTGAGTAGCGAGGATGAGGAGAAAGGGATAAGGGTTTGATTTGCCAATCACACACATAGACCTTATTCATATCATGTGTTCGTACCTCACACTTATTTAGATGTAGACTAGTACTCACTGTGTAGCGTTGCTAAAAGCCTTCATTGTTACAAGGCATCATTTCTCCATAGTTTCTGTCATATTCCTCATTGTTCCTGACTCTACAGTATATAAGGCTCCATTTATCTACTGTTAGAGTAGTTGGACTTTCTCCCCTGAATAACATTTAGTTCGGACAGTTCTCTCATCTGAAATAAGTCTATTCAAATATCAACTCTCTAGTGTGAACACCTTTACTAGTGCCACATATTTGAAACTTCCTTAAATCCAAATAAAATTCCCTTCATGGCCGCCATCAAAGAGGACTGATCACCCTCATACGTTGATGACCCTTCTTTACAAACCTCTATCTCTTTCCAACACATCAGTAAATTCGCAGACTCCTTAATTTCCTTTTTCGCTACTTATTTTCCCACATAAGAGCAAACAAGTTTCAGACACGAATGAAATCGTCTCCTTGTCACAAGCTGGAACAAGTTCAAAAGTAGATCCCCTCCTCTTGTTTTCCGCTTTTTGCACTTTTTTCACTTTTTTAGCACTCTTTTTAGCACTTATCGGGAATTAACTACTTTTTAAATGATGATCACCTCCTTATTTTCAACTTTTTTTGGCGCTTTTTGCACTTATCTGAGAATGAACTACTTTTCAAATGATGATCACCTCCTTATTTTCAACTTATTTACATTTAATCACACTTGTCACATAGAATGTAGAAATAGAAAGTAAAAAAGGAGACAAAAGTAACATAACAAGTACTAGCAAGTGTGAGGTCATAGCTAAAGAAACCAGGACAAAGTGGTGGATACGGTATAACAACATTAGTATGGCAGCAACAAGACAACATCAGTAAACTACAATGTTCTGTACAGTGTCACAGGGCCACAGCTTGGTCCCTACTGGACAGTTCACTACAGTATTACATCACATTGGGAATTTTTGTACAGACATTCACAGACACCCAGATTGAAGGTCTTGTACAGAATTTGCCAATAACATACCAATTGCTCAACTGTCTTTGCATGTACAGAGTTTGCCAATGTCATATCAATTGCCCAACTGTCTTCACATGTACAAATAAAACAACAATCATGATATGTATTCAATTGGCAGAAAACATGAATGCATGGTATGCTAAAAGTAAGGACTCGTAGAGTCGTAGTAAAGGAACTTAATCAAGCAGAACCTGTGGATGATGATGCTTCAAAACATCATTGCTGTCAATCTTGAAGGACTGCACCCTGCGTGAAAAAAATATTAGTATTGAAAAACTCAAAATAAACTTGCCATCTGGATGCAGCCCACAAACAAAGCTGCTCTACCAGCTTTGGTCCATGATAAGGATCCCAAATGATATCGTTTAGTAGCCCAACCATCCTGATTTAGATTGACTTGTACTCTTTGGCAGAAAACTTCGGGTACAACTTTCCATTACCGTTCTTGACTAAACCGTCAAGAACACAATTGAACTTGAAAAGTGTCAGTATATTGTCAAGTAAAAGTATCACAACATACCACAGTGCAAACCAAAGCTAAGCACTCCAGTGGTAGCTGCTCATGGAAAACCTCAGGTCTCCTGCAAGCGATACAATAAGACCCAGTATAGAAGAACAAAATGGTGGCTTTGTGGAGTGCAGGGTGAGCAATGTTTCGAGTTTTCCCAAGACTATCAACACCATTGCAGAGAAAAAGAGACAATTCAAGTAGTTTTGCAGCGTGTTCCTTGACCCACGTAGCACATTCTTGGGGGGGAACATGAGATGGCAGGACGAGGTCATACATAGAGGGTGTGATACTGATGGTGATTCTCTTGAGGTCCGAGCACCATGTTGATAGGTCTTCAAACAGCTGAAATGAAAACAAGCACGTCAGATACAGGCATGCAACCAAAAACACAGACACACGAGCTTGGCCATCTCAGGCTTGTAATCAGGCCAAATATCTGATAGACAAGTGAGCAAGCTGTTTTGAGGGGAAAAGAAATACTCACTACCTTTGACTTGTTGGCTGCTTTCAAGCCATTGTACAAGCGAAGCTGTAAGGATCTCAGGGATGGTTCCTGACAAGCTGTTGTGGGTACAACAATTCTGATGGTGATTCAGAACAATGTGTTGCTATTTGACCCTAAAGGGTTTTTGGACCAGGCTCAAGGCTCAGAGGAGAGGAAATATCATAAACTTTGCTGAATACTCAGACTCATAGTGGAACTGGTGAAACGGTAACTTCATTATGTAAGCTAAGGTACAAACATACTACTAGGTAAAACAGTCTCTGCAAGCCTAGCCAGGAATCATTCCCTACACCATCAACGAAGGTAGGGAACAGATTTTCTATTGTGTGCTGAACATGGCACTCTCCCTTTGTTTCCTCAAGGAACCTCTTCCAATGAGGACCATACCAACCCAGCTGTGTAGCCTTAGGCCCTTCACCTGTTATCTTGGCTGATGCCTTATGAGCTTTGGTATTCGTGTCACTCAGCTTGGAATCGGGAGGTTCGGTCTCAGCCTGACACAAAAGATCGAGGACTGCAAGATCAGGCAGGCGGGGATGTCCATTTCACTTGTGGTGAAGCTGTAGAACATCATCAGGAATATTCTCTGTGGGCTTCAAGGAAGAGAAGGTTAGCAGACTCCAGAAAAACAAATAATATATACCTGGATCATATTGTCATCGTCACTGGACGTGCCAGCTGCTAAATTCTTCTCAGTCATGTTATCATCCTTGTCGCATGAGTGTTGAAATTCAAAATCAGTTGGAAGAGCAGTGGTGACCCGAGGTTGTGAGGGCTCAACTTCCTTTGAAAAACCTGTCTTGTGCTTAGTGTGATTAAAATTGTGAGAGTGAATCACTTACCAGGATGTGCAGTAAGGCGCTGCTGCTCCCCATCTGACCTCCTGGCCTTCGACATCACCTTCTTCTTCTTCCTCATCCTCCTCTTCATCATCATCATCATCAGCATGACCTCCATTGTCATTGTTGTTGTCAGTAGATGCCTCTGAACTTTCGGATCCAGTATCTCCAGCTCCCGAATGTACATCTCAAGCTGACAATAGAGCAGGCTCCAGGTTCTTGTGGAACATAGCATTAGGTTGCATACTCGACCTGGATTTTGAAGGTGCTGGTTGCGCCAAATTGTTGTTTCTGGAGGTGGCAGTGGGAAGAAAACACCTGTTGGGATCCAAGGAAACTGACAGAGTACGTTTTCTCCTAGCAGCCGCTACAAAGGTGTTATTAAGTGCTTGCAAGTCAGGCTCCATGCCAGGAGGGATGATAGACTGCGCAAAGCCAAACCAGCCACCAGGTTGGCGGTGAGAAAAGGTGGGTTGCAACAGCTTTACACTTTGTTTTCCTCTGGCTACCATGGAGAGGCATGACTGGACCACACTGAGAGTAGAAATAGTGATACAATCAGTATGAGTAAATCACTGGGAGATACACACTAACTTTTAAGGCTCGGAAAAGTTTGACTCATAATTGGACAATTGCAAATACATGTCAAATATCTCCAGTGCTTGCATTTAATGTGAGAGAATCTTGTGAAGCTGAATGTAATGTCTTTCAGAAATATGAGTTGAGTGCTGCCTGCATGTAGAGAGTGTGACTGAGCATGTCGAAGGTAGTAGTAATGATACATGCTTTATTTTACACTAAGTACATAATGGGGATATCATGTGACTCATACTTGTATCGGATATCAACATATGTAAATGTGTCCGGTATGTATTACTATTCAATCAAACTCTACTCAGTTTTGTTCCTTTTTGGCTTGGGTATGGCTTCCATCGTCCACCGGTGATCAACCACTCGCTTCTGTCATGTCTCATCTACAGGTGGTGATGCACTTTCCTCATTGTTCTGGGGTGGTGTGAGTGAACCTGCCACTGAGAGAATTACCCATTTGGAGACTAGGAGCCCAGCGGAGTCCTCCTTCGGAAGTGCAGTGATGTGTCTACCCAGTAGATCAATTACGTTGTCGAAGAGCAACTGATTAGGGTTTTTAACAAGGTTATACCACTCTAACGCGAGTGGAAGAAGAGATTTGAAGTAGGGATCAATTTGTCGGGAGAGTTCCTTAGTGTAATGGTCAGATTGATGAAAAATTTGAGTCTTGCTGTCCCTGCACTTTTGGTATGTGGACATGGACCATTCTCACATTATCCATTTGACACACTGCAATGAATACTGTGGGAGAATAGTAGGGAGAACATGCCTCATGCTGAGAGGGCCCCTGAATTCGATACAGACCCAGATGAAAACGTAAAACATTGATTCGAGATCGTCCTGATAGACATACGTGACCATGGGGGATGGGTATAGTTTTGATCCCAAGGCTTGTGTACCCAAGCACTCATTGGATGGATCTGGTGTGTGGAGGTAAAGCTAGAAGAGAAGGGACTGCGATATGAAAGGTACTGTGCCCTGAGGTTGTAAGATGATAATGATTTATATGCATATCCTAGAAACGAATCAAAACACTAACTGTACCCCCAACACCGTACTGATCACCTCGTACAATGTCTACAGCAAACTCACAATCTATCAACATCCAATGGGTGCCATCACCATTGTCTTCAATCATTGCATTATTCAAACTACAATCACAATGAAGAACCCGGTTCTGCTCTACTGCTTGTTTCTGAACTGAATATTTTGTGAGTGCAATGGTTAGGTACATACGATCAAAATCACTTACTCTTTATAATATCCAGTATTGGGGTCAAGAACTCTGCACGCGAATGGAATTCATACAAGGGTCGCGCTGTCTTACTAGGATATAATTGGCAATAAAATCACCAGTTCTCACTATCCTCCACAGTCAATGGTTCAGACAAATACTAACAGTTGATAATGTGGTTATTCGTGAAAGGAGGTGTAAAAGTTGGGTTTGTCAAAGCAAGCAAATTCTTAATGACTTTGAAAAGGATGAGGATAAGGTAAATCTCAGGAACAGTAACAATTAACTGGCTTGATGCAGTGCTTGGGTACTTGAAGGTCATTAATTCATTAACTGGCTTGATGCAGTACTTAGGACATAGATGATAAGGATTGATGATCAATGGTGTAGCCGAATCAATAACTGGCTTGATGCAGTGCTACAATGCTACAAGAAGATGGCTGCAAAGACATGCAAAGATAAGATGAAGATATGGATCACGACAATATGCAATGAATCAGAGTATTATTTCATAAATACTCCCTCTTCTCAAAATCAGAGGAGATCAAACTAAGCCTCTAACACAATTGAATCAACCAAAATATGTGGCTTCGAAACTAACTTCTCTGCTGCTCAGGTACTGCATGATGAGTATGACGCAGGTCAGAACAGAGTACACCCTTGTGATGTAGTCTTAAAGCAGCCAAGCTCTCAATATTGTTGAGTAAAGTGCTAGTCTTATTTGTTGTCCTTCCTAATTGTTAAGAAATACATGAATTCTCTCCACAGAAAAGATATCCTGTGTCATAAAGAGAATGTCGAAACTACACTAGATGACTGATAACCGTGTACCAGCTAGCATAATTTAAGGATTGGTTCAAGGTAGGCCTCAGAAGATCAGTATGTCGTGAGAAATGATGACAAATGAATGGAGGGAATAAACCAATATTCACTCAGACGTTCACACAAATATAGGGTGAGAAACTTAGGAAGATACTCAAATTCTCCTTCCTTCTCAGATGGGAATCTCTCAAGAAGGGGGAATCTATTATTCAGAGGGGAAACAGAGCCCCTTATATACTACTCTAAATGTGGCTGTGTAACTTTCTAAATAAGGAAATATGACTCATAGCAACTCAGCCAGAAAAATGACTCATAATGACTCAGTCGTCAAAATGTTCCATGTTGACTTGTTCACTTCTCAAATATTCTCATCTATAAACTTTCTTCACTCAAATATCTGACTAATCCATTCCATCTGACTAAGCCATTGACCATTCATGAACTGGTGACATGTTGAAGCATTATCTTGGGTATGTTTCAAAACATACAGAAAGTTGTGAGGAATATGTGTGAAGATATAAAAGGTCATGAGAAATGCTGAATAATCTGTTGTGGTATATTTGGAACTGATCTTTGAACCAGATAAGTATTAATTTGAACGGTTAAGTTGTAATGTAAGGTCTTCAGGTCTGAAATTTACTCAAATAAAATCTCAAGGTAGTGTAAAAAGTTTGTAGTGATTTCATAGAGCAAACATAAGGAACTTCAAGGCTCAAACATAGCCATGACCATGCACAAAACCAGTTTGGTGCGTGTCAGCGTGCGGGGCTTCAAGACCAGGCGAACATGCATATGGGAGATGCCCTTTATGCTGTGCGGGACCTTTGACGATACTTCACTGTTTTGTCAACCTCGCCGTGTTCCATCTCCACAAGCCAATATTCAACAAGGTGAGGAACACCACAGATCCCATCCATCTTCTCCATCATACAAATTTCATTCAGGACCTCTGATTTACTCCTGAGGACCCAGTGATCCTTGACAGTATACTCTTCCTCATCCTTCCTGGCCAGATAGCACACTGTGCCACGACCAACAAGGCCTTGATTGGAGAATATTAGATCCAGGATATCATATGTATTCTCATTTACTCATATTTTTCCTATCGGCTCTGGGAGGGATACACTCAAAGAATTGCTAGGGACTTCGTCTACAAGGGGAACTGGGTTTGGAGGAATGTTGGCTGCGGGGTTGGGCACCGTGTCCTTTATGGTATGTGGGGGCTCGCTCATGATCTTTTCAATCTTGGTGGTCTCACTCTCTATTATCAGCACATCTGGAATCACTTCAGCAGTCTGGTGAGGAGAAGGTGAGGGTTTGGCAATGCAGAAATCAGGGGATCAAAGTGTGTGTTTCAAGATAGTGATCATAGGGTCGAGCCCGATACACTCGAGATTGCCGAAGACAATGGATGAAAATATCTGTAAGTACTTGTCCGGTGTAACGAGACAACAATTGCTGGACACTACATGAAGTAAGTAACCAGCAATATATAATGTTGTGGTCTAACACAGCCTAGTCTGCTATACTTGCAAGACAAGTGCATTTGACCTGAGGGGTTCACTGTAAGGTATTAGAATAATTAGCTATATGAAAAGGAAGATAATCTGAAGCATGGGAAACAAAGTCTGAAGGTATAATTACGAGTCTGAAGGTAAAAATGTCGGGTCCGATGTTTTTGGACTTTCAGGTTAGCAGGTTTTGTTGGGTTATGTCAGATTAGCGTCGGGAATGTAGCAAATGTCGGGGATAGTGAATGGTGGGTTACTGTCAATGTTTTTGGAGTGTTTCAGATAATGAAAGGATGATATTTTCAGAATTCAGCAAAGTGTTACAATAACATGTAACCGAGAACCCCTCCTACAGAGGTCACCATGACCTTAGCCCCTATCCCGCCATATGCACCATCTTGGAAAGACTTACCGACTCAACGGAGACTCGTAGAGACGCCTAGAACGGCCTGGATGCCGTTAGATGACCTAGACCAGCCTAGGCTACATCTGGACGGACCTAGATGGTCCTCGACCCAGATCATGAAGAAGCTCTGCTTCATGGTCAGAAGAGAAGCCGCATGCCGCAGCATGCGCAGTTAAACTACAAGGCATGTTTAGCCTTGAGGACAGATAGAAGAGGCATGGTAAGCCTCATGGACAGATAATCGCCCGCATGGCATCAGATAAGATGCCCTTGTATAGACACACTTATACTTACCTACCATACAAAGTATTGGTCTGTGCACACGGACGACAGTATATAGAGCAGACAGAATCATGTATATTCCCTACTTGATTCTACTAGGTTTTCATCAGAACTTCCTCTGTGTGATCATCCCAATTACTCAGTCTAAGCCGCACCTAAAGGCAAGCCGACGCTACCTTTAGTGGAACCCCCAGACCTCTCATTCGAGAGAAGATCCCCGTCTCTCCAGTAGCGAGCCCGCTATCAGATTAGGCAATCCGCCTAGGGAGAGCTCGACCTATCCTAGTCGTAACACAAAGAACTACAAATATCTAATGATCGTCTCCTACTCAGAGGTAGAAAGGTGAATAAGTAAGTAAGAGGTATGCGAAATATATAGTGTCTACGTAGAATTTTGGAGTGCTATAGGCAAAAGTAGTAGTGGTAATTTTCGGGTCCGATGTCCTATGTAATAAGACATGTGGTATGGTGGACATGTACTAACACGGTCTACAGTGTTAGCGACATGAAAACAGATAACTCCGCATCTAGTGGGGATAGATACGATAGGACAGGTCATAGAGAGGACAAGTGCGCGGGAAAATATCGGGTCCGATGTGTGGGAAACATCAGGTTTGTTGGACTAGCATCGGGTTAGCGGATGAATGTTGGATTGAGCGGGTAAGTGTCGGATAACATTGGAAAGTGATTTGTGTGCAATGGGTGTTTGTCATGCATTGGGAATTAGCTGAATACATGCTCAGAATAAGGCTGAGTGCTACACTGGCTCTCAATCAATATGTGTGCAAGGGCTGACAACTCCACCTGAGTGGTCATATAGATGGATGTGAAGCTTGTGATACCCATTGCAAATGGAGACCAACAGTGCGAAGTGTCTCCACAGTTGGTGTTTGAGAAGCAGGTAAGCCTTGGTGTCGAGAGTTTTGGCAAGGGGATGTGAAGGTAAGTAGGCACTTGAAGTCAGCTCACATACGGCCTTGATTGTATCCCATCTAGCCTTGATATCATCGAGTAGGGTGAGGTCTGGTTTGCACATGATTTCATCGCCACATATTGCGGATGAGGAGTTTGATGCACTCCAGATACAAGATAAGTTATGCTTCTAAGCGAGTGCAGGTTGCTGCAGGAGGAGGGCAAAGGCAAGGAGGTTATTGAAGAACACACGTCCATGGTTTTGTAGAATCATGGTCGATTTCATGGAGCACTGGGGCTTTGTCACTACTGGCAGAGCTGGCATTTGTTGACATTACATCATCCTCAGGCTGGCCAACACTTTCAGCCTGTGACTCAGAGGCAGCAGGTGTGCCAGTGTCATCGACGAAAACCCAATCTCCTGGCCTCTGATTCATGGCACCACTATTTTCTCCTTCCCTCTCTCCCTGGTCCATGCTACTGTTCTCTCCTGCCTGATTACTTCTCTCCCCACTGGCAGTGAGTTTGTGTAAATGTGACTCTGGGAGTGGCCAGTTCTAATGGCATGCGCACATGTCATAGAGTGGTACGAGGGTTGCTTCATCTTCAATGTGCTGAAATGCTTCAATCCTGGTATCAGGGTGGATTTTCTTCAACAGAACTTTGAGATCCTTTGCTTTGGGAACTTCAGTTGCACAGGACTTGAAAATTAGTGATAATACATGGCCAAGCTTGTCACTGTTGGCAGGTGAAGATTTCTGCAAAATCAAGCAAATAAGTTCCAAGCTGGTGAGTCTATCCATTGTTGTTATGTTGTGAACCTCTGGAGCTGACATCAAAGATGCCAGCTTCATCCCGAGGCCCACTGAACAGAAATGTTTACCGAGTGGCATGAGGGAGCACTAGTATGAATGCATGGATACAAGTACAAGAATAACCTTTGATCCATTTGGCATGTCTACTACAAAAATGACCCTATCTTGTATCAAATCTTAGACTGATAGCACAAAGAAGGTGCTTTTATCCCAAAATTCATTCAGCCAAAACTCAGCAGCATGCTCCAAACTGTTATATGCTGAGAGACACTTGTCAGCAGTAGCACCAAAGCAAGGGACGAGTTGAACAGGAGCCCTCAATTGAGATACCGGAATAATGTCGCCCATCCAGTTTCCATTCAAGTGCTTCACTCGCTTCAGTGTGTAAAGCCATGTGGCTGGATCACAATCATTTGAAAGATCAAAACATTGGACATACATGAGGAAATAATCCTTCCAGGACCATTGTGTGCCACTCTTGCCAATGGGTCACATAATGAGTCTAATCTGCATGATTGTATGACCTGTAACAGTGAGTGAACATACATTTATTGTAGCGCAAGACAGAAAGTACCTGAAAGACGACTACTAGGCCATGGGCAGCCTGCACTGGTCTCAATAATGACTGTATCATAACAGCCTAGAATCCACGAGTTGTTTGGTGGTACACAATTTAGCGTCTGAGCTGGTTTGATTGTGTGAGTGTCGTGGAAGTCCATCTCCTGCAAGCGAATTTTGAACCAGACTTGTACTTTGTCGAATGGGAGGACAGCAGTAGATCCAGCCCTTCTAGGGCCACTTATTGAATGAACATGCTGGTGTCCATAAGTTGCCTCACATTGAAGGAAATCAGCTATGGCTGGTTGTAGATCTGGTAAGCCAAATTTAATCACGACTTCATCAATGGTGATGCTCTGAATGGAGGGGTCATATCCAAAGTGAAAGGCAGTGTGTTTGTTGACAAAGGAGCAAGGTGGTACAGGCACAAACCCACTTCTTGGTGCTGAAGCACCTTCACAATTGCAAAATAATTTGTAGTTTGGCGTGGGTGTTGAGTCGGGTCGATAGGAACATCTTCTGTGTCAACATCAGCTTCAATATTGCTATCTTCAGCATCCAAGTCCAATTCCTCTGTCCATGATCCAGAAGGCTAGTGGCGAGCTCAAAACAATGACATTTTTCAGCATGGTCGAGGTGTCAACAAATTTGTGTGTTGTAATTGTTGTTATTGCTTGATCTGGTGGGGTCTTTGATCTCCGTGATGTGGGCATGTTCAGTGATGTCAGCAGACCACTGTCCTATGAAACCAGAGTTGCAAATGCTGGGAACGATACTCTGCATTAGCTCCAGCTTGGGGATATAAAAGTTGTCAATGTTTCTATTGCCCTTCCCCTGACGAGCTCCAGCAGCAAGGATTGCATCCTTGTTCATGTGGAACTCAGTTAGAGCACCTGAGATGTGCCCAAGATCTTCCTCATCAATATGTGGTGACTGTATGAGATACCAGAACTGCATGAGCGCATGTACAGCAGCGATGACATGAGGAGGTGCTGCATCTGCACTGATAGCGATGATATAACATTGGATTTCTTGTTCACAGTGACTAGTGACTTGTTTTAGTTTGGAGATGCCACCATAAAAGTGTCAATAACCAGTGATGGGCTGTAACACTGAGAATCGGAAGTCTATTTCAGAATCTCCAACAGCGCAAATGAGCCATTGGGTGTCATGGTCAAAGAATTCTTTATGAAGATGATGGAGTGATTCTGGTGTAAGAAACCGGGAGGGGTCTGCTAGTGCATAGTCCCACCAGAACGGTTTGTCGATGCCATTCAGTCGGAATTTCTGTGCCTCACAGAAATATGATCATTAGGATCTGCACGTGAGCGCACAACAGCAAGCTGTGCACTAGTTGTTGATTTTGTCCGGGGTTCGTGATGGAATACATCCCCGAACTGCTTATACATTGCCATCGTCACTGGCGACATTTTTCCACCAACGGCTGCCAGCATCATGGCCTCAGGGGTGTTGGAAATATAGCTCATGAGAGCAGTGAAGCAATACCGACTGCATCCAATAGGATCAGACAGCATGACACCATGTTGAGCGGATTGCTTGAGCAGCTCAAGAACAATATTAAGGCACTGATGTATAAGGTGATCCTCCAATATGCCCTTCATTCACTTTTTCTTGTGAATGAACTTGGGGACTGGTAACAGGGCAGTGAGAATGAAAGAGTTGGTTGATGATTTTAAGCGTACATTCACATAGATGTTGGGGAGGCTAATTAGGAGCGGATGAGCTATGCAATCCCCCGTTAATGCAGTGATGTTTGTCTTGTCAGAGGAGAGAATGGTGTCAAGGAGGGTTGCACCCTTGGGTATCACCAACTTTAAGAATACATGAGTGCCAGACCTCAATATTTGACTATCTACTCACCTGCATATCCCATGCGTCATTTCCTGATATCCATCTAGTGTATACACGACATAGTCTCTCTACAGTAGAGTGAATCTTGTGAGGTGTGAGATCTATATAACAGTGAAATAGTGGGTGACTAAAGATGCTGGTGATACATTCAATAGGGTCATGCCAGTACAGAATTACTGGCAACTTTGTAGGATGTGATGTATGAATGACTTGAGACTTCCAGCATGGACCGCTGGGCAGCATCTCAGCTCGACCATGTAGTTCTCTGGCGGAGCGGAATGACAAGGGTAAATCCTTGATCTAAAAAGAGGTGAATCATTAGCAGTGAAAGTAAAGTAGACAAACTGACCATTTCAAGTGATAGAAAAGAGTCGATCTTCCCCATGCTTAGGCCTGAACATAAGAGCCATGCTGCAAGTTGCCAACATTATGAGGAAGTCCAGTGATGTCCTCATCGTCCACAGAGTCCATGTTATGATCTTCACCAAACAAAATGGGGTTGATCATATCCTCTAACCATGTGTTGCATCCAGACCAAGGCTGGCTCATATGACGAGCAATGGAAGTGTGGTCTTTGAAGATTTTGCCGCATGAGGGGCAGCTGGAATCATGATGAGACATACTAGTAAGACAGTCAGCCTAGTAAGAAACACATGGTCAGACTTCAGTAATATGGCTGATACAGATACCAGCATTTCCCAAAACTATCTCTCAATATACAATGACTATCAATCTGCGCACATTATCGACAAAACTGTCAGGTCTAGCTGACGACATTCTTCATCAGCACCATGATGACATGAGACCAGGGACACGTGGGATGGACTTTTATGAGCTTCTTTAAGCTATTAGGTCCTTGGTAAAGTCAATTTTATATTTCTTATTTCTTGAAGGCACCTAAAATTTCATCAGTCGATACAGAATCCAACTAATTCTGAAGTGAAACTTGTTATGGACCTTGCATGAGCCAAGTGTGAAGTATTTTGGGCACAAAAGGCACTTGCAGAGTGTTTACAACAGGAAAAAGTATTATCAAGCTTGCTCAGATTCCGAGTAGATGTCGTGGGGAAGATGCTAGGCGATGCAGAGATGGGCCTGGGGTGCATGAGACTTGCCTTCAAACAGCATGGCTGGTCTCATTTATCTGCAAGACAACACAAAAGTGATCATCAGTGTGCCGGTAAGTTTATGATCTGTGAGAGAAAGCAATCATACTTATCAAGTGCAGAAAATTCATCATCTGCTATGACAGAAGGTCCAAGTAGCCACACTCTCACTATCCAGCTTGACTGACCTGTTTGTCATGGACGGTTTGCACTACTATATGTCACATTATGATATTCGCTTCATGTACTACTAGCACTATTAGTACTATGTGTGTCCCTTACAGTTCATACAATATTTATGCTCATGTTGTTATCTCGGTGTTTGAATGTAATTTTGCATTGTCTGAGGTCCATCCATAGTCCGAAATAAAAGATTGACTTCGCATTTCTATGGTATTACTAGTACTAGTATATACTACTTACTACTAGTAGCTATTCAAACTCGGACTCCTTCGACTTTCAAATGCAAAGTCCTGTGAGTCATGTTGAACTGTGAGTGATTGTAATAAATGTATACCTTGTGGTACTATTTGCTGTGACTCTTGGTGGAACTGTGAAATCTGTGATCAGCTGTCATGGGAACATAAGTCATGTGCCTTCTGTGGGGAAAGTTGTAGTTTGCTGATGAACTTGAAGGGAAGCAACAAAATGAGGGAAGCGATGAGATGAAGGGAGTCCAGTACTACTAGTAGTGCAAAAGTTCAGTCAGATATGAGATAAGTAGGCATTAGCATGGGTATGGGTACCTCACGGGTGTGGGTGCGGGTTGGCACACTGGGTACCCGCTACCCATCCAGCAAGGTACAATACCTGTTGTAGCACTGGAGCTTGCGCTAGGCTTGGATTGAGCTATTTCCCTATGCATGTTGCACATGAATCACTTCCCAATGTTATCTGACACTTATCTGCTCAATCTGACGTTTATCTGCTAATCCAACACTAACCCAACAAAGTCCAATGCTAATCTGATGGACCCGATGTTTCTCGCGCATCAGACCCGATATTTTCCCGCACACTTGTCCTCCCAATGTTCTGTCCTGTCGTATCTATCCCCACTAGGTGCGCAGTTATCAGTTTTCACATCGCTAACACTGTAGACCACGTTATTACATGTCTGCAGAACCACATGTCTTATTACATAGGACATTGGACCCGAAAATTACTGCTACTACTTTTGCCTATAGTGCTCCGAAATTCTACATAGACACTATATATTTTGCATGCCTCCTACTTACTTATTTACCTTTCTGCCTCTGAGTAGGAGGAGGTCATTAGATATTCGTAGTTGTTCATTGAATTCCGCAAATATCATCCTTTCTTTATCTGAAACACTCCGAAAACACCGACAGTAACCCGCCATTTACTATCCCTGACATTCGTTACATTCCTGACGCTAATCCGATGAAACCCGACGAAACCTGCCGAAATCCGAAAACATCGGACCCAACGTTTTTACCTTCAGACTTCGTTTCCCGCACTTCAGACTATCTTCCTTTTTGTTTAAACTGATTATTCTATATCCTTACAGCGAACCCCTTGGGTCGAACGCACTTGTCTTGCAAGTATAGCAGACTAGGACGTGCAGACCACAACATTTCTATATTGCTGAGCACTTACTTCATGTAGTGTCTAGCTATTGTTGTCTCATTACAGCACACGTGTGAGAACATGGCGCTTGGTGCGGTGTAGAAACAACAATACTGAGTGGAGCTATACAAAGATGGCTCCAAACTGATATATTTGTGTTGTGGTCTTTGCACTGCCTAGTCTACTATACTTGCCTGACAAGTGCATTCGACCCAGGGGTCTGCAGTCTGGGAATAGTCTTGGGGGTAAGTGAGTGATGTGAGATCAATAGTCCGAGTGCGGGAAACAATGTCCGAAGGTATATTTACGATGTCCGATGCAAAAGTGTCAGGTTTGTCGGGTCGGGTATGCGGAAACTAATAGTGACGCGTTATGCGAGCGTCGGAAAAGCGAGCGGTATGTGTGATGACAACAATGATTGATACGGATAATGAAAGAGCGATGATATTCGCAATATCAACTAAGAACTACGAAATATTGGGTTTGACCACTAAGCGTCGGGGAACTGCTCCCCTCTACTTGGATGATGAATGACACTGTGGGGAGTCCAATATTTATGTAGGTACGTAGAAATCCGGAACCCTATAGGCAAAAGTAGCGGCGGGATACTTCGGATCCAAAGTACATGTAAAATAACATGTGGTACTGCGGATGATGAGAAAACATGTAATAGTGCTTGCTACGACGTGAGTAATGTGTGAAATAATGAACTACGCACCTAGTGGGGCTAGCAAGACAGGACAAGACACGGGAAGGACGAGTGCGTGGGAATTTTCATCGGCCGATGTGGCCTAAATGTCGGGTTAGCGGGTTAGCATTGGATAACATCGGGAAGTGATTAGCATGTGATGGGTATTTGATGTGTACTGTAAAATAGCTCGATACGAGCCCAGCACCAGCTCGTGTCCTACAGCGGGAAAGTAGCACGTGCTTGGCGCTTGGCACAGGAGAGTTGCACTTCGCATAGGGAATGATTGGAGAGGTGTTTAGCACAAATTGTGCATCAAACTGCACCTTTAAGGCATGTCGTAGATATAGCCTCTACGAGGCTACAGAGATGTCAGTCTCTACAGTGGCTACAAAAAGAATGGACTTCACCAGTATACGCATTCTTCAAGCCAACACCCAGTATTGAATACACCAACAGGAGACGCTCGCATGTATTCAAGTGCCTGGGAAAGAGCTGTAAACAGCATGTTCAGCACTACCTTGACAAGGGAGACACGAAATCAACAAGTAACATGGCTAAGCATGTTAAAAGCTGTTGGGGTGAGACTGCATATGAATAAGACAGCTGCATGAGCATGCAACTCCATAGTGGGTAGTATACTCACAACAGGCTTGATCACATCCTCCTTCCTTTGAAAGGGTAAAGGCAAAGTAACATACTCACATAGGCAACATACAAAATCTAAGACAAAGTGAGCCCATGAAACATGCATCATAAATGTGACTCACAATATTTATAGGGCCAAGATTGTTCGATGGGTATCAGAGAGTCTTTGCCCATTTGAAGTCATTAATGATCAAGGTTTTAAGTCCTTAATAAAGACAGGATGGCCAGAGTACTATATACCTTCACCATTCACCATATCATGTGATGTTAAGCTTGTTTTCACAAATGTCAGGAAAAGGATTGCACAGATGTTGCAGGATTATGATGGTGACCTTAATTTCACCACTGATGCATGGACATCACTGAACCATAAGGCATTTGTAGCCATCTCGGTGCACTTGAAGCATGAAGGCCAGCCCCTTGCAATGCTTCTCGACATTGTCGAGGTCACGAAGTCACATTCAGGCATGAATCTCACTGAAGCATTTGCAAAGATACTTGATGACTTTGGAATTTCAGATAAGGCAAGGTTTCATCAACAACATCTAGCACGACTTACTAATTTTCATCAGATGCTGAGTGTAACAGCAGACAATGCATCAAGTAATGACACAATGACAACGGAACTTGCCAAGCTCATTGATCATTTTGGTGGAGAAGCGGTACACACACATTGCCTCTTGCATATCATCAATCTTGTGGTCAAAAGTTTAATTAAAGAGTTTGACATACCAAAACACCATAGTGTCAAGTCACTTGACAGTGCAGACCATGACCTCCAGGATCTCGCAGGTGACATTGACATTGAGGACAAAGATGCTATAGCAGAGAATGGTGATGGGGATCCAAACACTGACAATGCCAATGATGCAGAGAGATGGATTAATGAAATAAATGAGTTGGATGATTTTGATTGTGATGTGCTGCAGGAAAACATCCGGCCTATCAAGTTGACTACGAGGAACAAATGGCATTATGGCTTCAATGCCAGGAAGCAATCTTCTGGCAGACCTCTTACCTTGAATGGGTGGCCAATTGTGCCACTCAGACAGAATGTGAATGTGAGTATAACTCCGACTCTGATGCTGAGAATGAAGACTTCAACGTGGTGCTGTTGTTTCACAAGATATAGGTCATGTTCTAGTGAAGAAACCTCCACACCCTTGAAAATCTGTTCAACATCTTGAAACCATGCATGGCACCATTGATTTTCTACCCGCTTTCAAGTCATTTTTACAGAACCATTTCCCACACAATCACATTGTGCCCGGTTATCAAGATTATTTTGATGTTTTTTGACAAGTCGTCATCATCCCTCCCCCCAACCCTCATGTGCCCAAGTCACTCAAGTGCCTGCAGGTGAGGGCAATGCCTGAAGTGCTCCCTTTGCCTTCTGGACGGAAGTCGGGTTCCCCTGCATGATTCAACATGGCATTAATTAGTAGTAATGGTGTCCAAGCATTGAAGGTACTACTCATCCTGGACAGTATGTCAATGGTCTTCCAATTCACAAAGTATGATGATGATGAACTCTAAGTTATAGTCACAGTCCAAGTTGCACAGGTCCATGTAATATCCATGCTGCCTCATCAATTTGGTGTGTACTCACAACCCCTTGCCTACATTGTGTTACGAACTAGGATAGTTCTTAACAACGACAACTCAACAGAGTTTCGATCGTTGAGATTCGTAGTCTCTCAGAAGAGAGAGGGTTCTTTATAGGCTTAGATGAAGGAGTGCTTCGACTAAGAATCAAGTATCAGACGACTTAAACTTGGGGGGTTTAAGCGAGAGATAGTTCAGGTAAAACCTAGTAAGATTCAAGTAAAGAAACTAGTGGTAATACATGTGCTTAAATAGGTCAATATGTGTGCACGGTGTAGAAACAACAATACTGAGAGGAACAAATGAATGCTCCAAATGGTATCTGTAAATGTTGTAAGGTCACGCGTTGCCTAGTCTGCTATACCTGAGACGACAAGTGCGTTCGACCCTAAAGGGGAAGCAAGTGCAGCGAAGATCTGGTAGTAGGCGCTGAAGGCGCTACTGGTCGGCCAATGCGAAGCGCGAGAAAGCGCGCAGGTACGCGCGAGGCGCGGGAAAGCGAAGGTATGCACGAGGCGCGGGAAGCGCGCGCGCGTGAGCGGAAACAAGTGAGAGTAAGTGTGAGTTTGCTTAAGTGATGATAGATGAATAACAAGAGATGTGAGCGCGAGGTGTCAAAGAATAGATTGCAACTATATTCTCTAGGTGGTAAGTGGGTAAGTGGGAGGTCCCGTCCAAAGTTCGAAAGTTTTGTGTCTAATAATATGTACTGCTGGCGCTTATATACGGCGCCTAAGCGCTGTCACGCGGAGCCGAAGCGCTACCGAGTAAGGTATGTAAAGATATATGTATGTCATCGACAAAAGAACAGTTCGCGTATATGGCTGGTTACTGCCTTTTATGGCTTACAAACCCTGGTAGATGGTTGTATGAGATTGTAACACATATGCAAGTAGTAACAGACACGTATAAGATGTAAAACTTGTACCGGAAGTGTGCGAAGCTTGTACAGTAACAAACAGATATGTGGAGGTATGCATGAGTTTGTAGCCTGTATACAAGTCTTAGCAGACACGTACAAAATGTAAGGCTTGTACACGAGGTATGTGAAGCTCGCAAAGTAACAAACAGAAGTGTGACGGTATGTATGAGATTGTAGCAAGTCATAGGAGACATGTGCAAAATGAAAACTCGTACAAGAAATGTGTGGAGCTTGTGAAGTACTGACAGAAGTGCTGAGGTATGTATGCAAGTTATAGCAGAGATGTTTCGAATGTGCGAAGACTGTTCAGTCCCAGTAAGAATTGGTCGGACGCCCTCTGGAGAGTGAATTGAAACTCTTAGTCCGAGTCGTGGGCAAGTTGAACTGTTGAAGTTGTATCTAGTGTGGTGAAGTACGAAATACTCGAGCCTGAGCAACGAGATACATATTATGCACGGACCTCTAATCAAACATATTGACTGATTCTTACTGGGGATGCAACATGATCAAAATTCACTAAAACCCTCTAGCTCCTCGTCACTGTCCTCGCCGTCCTCTGCACCCAGCTCGTCATCAATATCACTGTCCCCATCACCTTCAGTGGCTTCAACACCCTCTCCCGGGCCATCCTCGCCGTATCTGTTTTCATCAAAGTCCTCCCCTTCAACCTCCTGCTGTATTCCGGAGTAGCCATAGTCATCGTAGTCGAATTGATACTCGTCACCTTCGTCCAGTTCCATGGCTTCGCCTCGAGCTGCAGACCCTTCCTTGCTGTCTATCAAATCACTTTCATCGTCATCGCTGCCTTCATCCTCGCTATGGGTTACTGCAGTGTTGGCTTGATGTATGTCCAGTGGGTCACGATCATTCAGAAAACTGCTTGTTGCTTCGTGAGTTGTTCGATGACCAACGCCGCCCCCACGAAATCTCATGAGCATGTCTCGATCGACAAAACTGTTAGATATCAGCAATGATATTCACCCATAACAGTGACACCCACATATTTAGATAGAAATAAGTCCAGTCTTCGTTGTTGTCATTGGGATGACGGGTGATTGATGGTGACATATATTCTGAGGTATGGCCATGAGTGAAGGCTGGGATAAGATGAATTCCACGAATGATATGTGTTGGGTCGATGAACCCAAACGCTCCAGGATCTTCGCTCGGGATGAAGCCAAGTCGGTGTAACCGCTTCACCTTCCAGCCTGAACAGTGACTGAGATCACGGCCAAACCAACGCACCCATGCAAAGTCAACTTGCACAGGATCGTATGACAATGAGTTGGCGGTGGGATCACGATAATAGACAAGTGCGTGAAATATACCAATAATTCTGGCATACCAATAAGAATGGCCATTAGCCTCGTCATCCTCGTGGGACAAGACCATTATATCGGCATGAGTCCTGGAGTTGAGCGAGTCTTGTTCTCGTCGTAGATCATAGGTAGTGTAGTTGATGCGGATCACCTTGTGTCGATAGATACGATCATTTACAAATACCAGTCGGCTGCGCTCAGCAGTGGAGAAGGAGACTTCGTCGCCATCATAATCGTGTCCAAGTAATCGTGCGAGGATATGATCTTTTAATCGGGGAAGAAATGCCTAGATATTTTAAAATACTGAGCATTGTAGGATAGAAATTGAAGTCAGAAGCACTCACAGTGAAAGCAGGATCCCCTTCATTCTTCCTCAGCCATTGAGAAAGACCCAAAAAGTGGCGTGCTTCCGTGGAAATATGGTAGTGTACTCGAGGATCAGTGTATGGTAGCCGTTCCGACTCCTCAAAGCGCAAGGATGGCATCTCCGTTGCATCAGGAGCAATAAGATTGCGCAGTGAAGTGGTTTTCCTCTTCTTGTACTTACCCTCAGGAATACATTCTTTCATCCTGAAGAGGATTCTCTCCCGTTGCTGTTGCTTTGCAATTCCAGATACATATCGAAACTTGTTCACTCGCGGGTAAAAGCGTTTGATGCGCCTGTGCTCAATTTCACCCTATGAAACAGTATTAGTACTAAGTCAATTGCTACATGGAGCGTTACTAGTACGTACCAGCTGGGTTGTAAAGTTGTCTGTTGTCCCAAATCGTCTGATGGTATTAACATAATCACCCAGTGCGTGAAGTTTGTAGGTTTGTAGATTAAACTTCCTGTGCTTCGAGCGTCCTTGAGGCTGTTGCATTGCCGAGTTTCCGTGCGCTGAACTCTGTGCAGCCTTTCGTGCTTGGCGACGGCCACGAGCAGCTTCTTCGCTTAGAAGATCTCGGGTGTCAAATGTCTCTGTCTCGCTGGAAAAACGCCTCAAAATCTTGCCGAGTCGAGTTGTGGATGAATCAAGGAAGGATAGGGTAGTGTCTGTGTGCAGGCGTAACTTTGCCAATCCATGCCATGTAGCCAATTCAAAGAGAAGGTCGAGGACAAGGGTGTTGAATGGTTCTGGAAGGAGGTCTTCAAACACAGGGATAGCACACTTGCAAACCTTGGTTAGTACAAGTGCGCTGTACTAGCACCACTATTAGAAAACATACCTGTAAAAGATCCTCAAAGTCTCGCGCCGCAAGCTTCTTCATGCCAGAGGCATTGTCACTGAATTTGCGGACCGTACTCCTGCTAAATGTGGGTACTTGTCGATAACTGTCAGCGTATATTAATATAAGCAATTCCTGTAGTGGTTAAGCAGGAACTCGTACCGTTTATTCAACTGCTGTATTGTGTCGTGGCCATATGCGTAAAGAACACGGATGAGATGCGTAAAAGTGGCCTTCCAAACTCCCAGTTCGAATTCATGAAGCAGATCAGGAACAAACATGGTGTAAAAATTGAACCCAAAGCGTGCGAGCCGAGTTGAAAATGCATTCTAAGTAAATCAGTAAGGTGAAACAGGATGTAGTACATGAAGCATACCGTACTGGGGACAAGAGACTCAGGTACGAGCATCCGCTTGACAAAGACACTTGTGATATTGGTGCCCTTGACGTACAACCACTCCCGAACCTGTCTGATTATTGTCCATATCCGATGGCCATCTTCACGTATCTTTTTCTCGCACCATCGTCTGTCAGCCTTGTTTCCGAGACCACCTATCTTGGTCTTGGGGATCAGGCAGCGTGGACAAGGGCACTGGGCGAGAAATTTAATTGATGCGAGAAGTGTTCTAATCGAATGAGATAAATCAGTTGGAAGTGTGCCTTCGAAAGATCCTTACTTTTCAGGGTAATCTGCCGAGTAAGTAAAAAACCGAGGAAAGAT